TCTTATCTCCAATAAACCACCAGAAAACTGGAAGCGGCACTGTGGCTCAAGCTGTAGAGCACCTTGAGCTGAAGAGCACAGGGACAGCACCCAGGCCCAGAGTTCAAGCCCCACGACTGACAAAAAAGAAATCTAACAGAAAATCCTGAAAGTATTCTAAGATTCTCTCTCTCTTTTCCTTTCTTTTCTCTCCCTCCTTTTTTTTCTTCCTTTTTTGTGTGCCATCCCGAGGCATGAACTCAGGGCCTGGGCACTATCCCGGAGCTTTTGTGCTCAAGGCTAACACTTTACTATTTATATTCTGTATCTTGTCCTAAGGATTTGAAGTTTAGTTTCTTGGGTCTTTGGCTCTGCCCTGTCTTTACTGTGGACGGTATACAGTGGGGTGGTCCCTCGTTTGAGATGGACACCCTTTGCCTGACTCTTGAGGCTCCCCCGCCGGGTGGGAATGGCCCCAGAGTAGCAAAAGGCACAGTGCGAAGCCTCCACAGGAAGGAGCAGAGGAGCAGGGCCTGGGGCAAGGGGCACAGAGACCAGCAGAGGGCGCTGTGGGCAGCATGGCGGCAGCAGCTGAACTCTTCCTTGGAGGGCTTGGACAGCCTCTGAAGACCCCACCAGCGTCCACCAGTGTTGGCACTGAGCCAGCCTTCTGGAGCTTCGGGATGTAGGACCCAGAATATCCACACCCTGAGAGGCTGTCTGGGGGGCAGCTCCACCCGCCCTCCTCCCAGGCCTGCCTTGCCCAGCTCTAGTTCACACTAAGCTCGTCCAGGGGGTGATCAGAGATGGGGCATTACTTGAGGCAGACCCATCCTAGCTCTTCTCCCACAGCATCTTGGCTCCTCTTCCATCTGACTTCAATAAGATTGCTCATCAGTGTCGTCTGTTTAAGTTACACGAAAACGTAGTCCAACATTTGAGTCGTTTTTCATCACTTTATGAACTGAAATGCAGGATTTACAGGTTGCACATCGTTACAAGGATGGCTGTCCCCAACACCTGAGGCTCTGTTGCCAGTGGAGGCCCTCTTTGAGGTTCTGGATGGCATCCAGGGCACTGCTGCTCTAGCCCTCAGCACACATGCTGCAGAAGCATGACGCTTGTTTCTGGGTGTTGCCATCTGGTGTCCCATTGGGAAAGGCTATATTTGAATATAAACAAATCTCCATAGTTGCCCACATAGACATTAGTTTCCTGTTGTTTGAAAATGGCTGCTCAAATGGCCTTTGACATAGGGATCTTTTTTGTAATGCTTTTGTTGGTGGTGGTTGTGGTCATGGGGACAGTCTGTAGGGGAGAGCCAGGGAAAGGAGAAATGATCTATGCAAGCAACATCTCTCTGTGTTTGAGACAGTTAAGGCACCGGTGAGCTGCAGAGGCAGTCCCTGAGTCTCTGGGTCACTAGGGTTTGGCATGATATCCCAGTCATTCAGCCTAACAGTCTCCAACCCCAGGTCTAGACTGGCTACCCACACTGTCATCCGCTATGACGGGCACTGTGGGGATCATGCTTTTCTGCCCAAACCCAGAGACACCCTTACTGGGAACACAACCCTGGCTGGATGCTTCTAGATCTAGACTTGAATTACACCAGGCTGGCAGATCACGGCCCCATTTAGGAGTCAAATTTTGCCTCCTGACCTGAAAGCCCTCCACCATCTTGCTTGGGACATTTTCTGTTTCCATATGTGTCAAATTTCACTTTTGCCAGACTCCAATTATCTTCTTTTTCTTCACTCCACTGCCAGTGGGCACTGAGTGTGCCTAAACTCTACCCATGCACACAACACAAATGCTCACAAAGCTGTAGCCCAGCCCTGCATCAAACCCACCACCACAGATGCCACTGGATAGATCCTTAGGGGGAGTACTTTCAAATGTGGGATCACATGGACCTGTCTCTGCATCTTTCTTGATGAGAAACACTAATCGCATTAGGTAGGAAGTGGGTTCCAGGCTGCTTGATTTTTCCTTGACAAATTACCATCTTTACATGCAAATTACAGAATTCATTGATGAAAATGCAAGAGGCTTTATTATACTGTAAATATTCAAGTGGTCAGAGAAGCTGCAGGACACACACACACACACACACACACACACGGTTTCTGTGCTACACTTCCAGGAAAAAAATGCCCCCACACCAAAGGCTTTGCTAGTTCCCTGCCTACATAAGCCCAAGCTCCCAGGCCAGCCTGCAGACACACAAACACCCCCATGCTGTCACCCTGATGGTGTTCCCCACAGCGCCCCGCCTCTTCCAAATGGAAGCGTCACTCCGTATCTACCTGCTTGAACAGGTGGTGTGAAGCAGGTGGTGTTCGGAAGGCCATAGCTGGTGCTGAAGCAGAAGCTGGTAGGTCAGCATCTCTGCACTTCAGGTTAAAGCTTTCCTTCAACTCCTCATTGACAGGTTTTTTTTTCTTTTTTTTTTTGGTCCGGTCGTGAGGCCTGAACTCTGGGCCTGGGCGCTGTCCCTCAACTCTTCAGCTCAAGGCTAGCGCTCTACCACTTGAGCCATAGCACCACTTCCGGCTTTTTCTTTTTGCTTATGTGGTGCTGAGGAATGGAACCCAGGGCCTCAGGCATGCAAGGCAAGCTACCACTGAGCCACCTTCCCAGCCCTTTCTTTTTTGTCAGTTGTGGGCCTTGAACTCAGGGCCTAGGTACTGTCCTTGAGCCTCTTTGTGCTCACGGCTAGTGCCCTCCCACTTGAGCCACAGTGTTACTTCGGCTTTTTCTGCTTATGTGGTGCTGAGGAACCGAACCCAGGGCCTCGAGCATGCAACACAAGCGCTCTAGCACTGAGCCACCTTCCCAGCCCTCCTCTGGAGCTGTTTCCTAATTCCTGCTCTTTGTTACTTCCTTGTCTTTAGGTCTGCTTTGAGGTTTTTGTGTTGCTTTTATTATTCTTTCTTGAGACAGGGTCTCATTATGTAGCCTTGACTGGCCCTGTTCCCACTGCTCCCAGTCTTCCTGCCTCAGCTGGCAGGTGGCACTGGGCTGGCAGGTGGCACTGACAGGTGACACTGGGCTGGCAGGTGGCACTGACAGGTGGTACTGGGCTGGCAGGTGGCACTGGCAGGTGGCACTGGGCTGGCAGGTGGCACTGACAGGTGGTACTGGGTGGTACTGGGCTGGCAGGTGGCACTGGGCTGGCAGGTGGCACTGGGCTGGCAGGTGGCACTGGGCTGGCAGGTGGCACTGACAGGTGGCACTGGGCTGGCAGGTGGCACTGACAGGTGGTACTGGGCTGGCAGGTGGCACTGACAGGTGGTACTGGGCTGGCAGGTGGCACTGGGCTGGCAGGTGGCACTGGCAGGTGGCACTGGGCTGGCAGGTGGCACTGACAGGTGGCACTGGGCTGGCAGGTGCCATCACCCCCATATTTGGCACTGCAGTTTATTTTGATCTCGTTATTTTATTTTTAAATTGCTATTATAAAGGGGCTACAGTTACGTAAGTCAGGTAGATAATGTCACCCTTTCCCTTGTATTTTCTCTTTTATTTACTTCTTTTGTTTTCTAGTAAGTACATTTAAGAGGTGGGGACATAACTCAAGAAGTAAACTAGCAGGCTGGGAAGGTGGCTCAGTAGTAGAGCGCTTGTCTTGCATGCATGAGGCCCTGAGTTCGATTCCTCAGCACCACATAAGCAAAAAGAAAAAGGAAGTGGCGCTGTGGCTCAAGTGGTAGAGCGCTAGCTAGCCTTGAGCTGAAGAGCTGAGGGACAGTGCCCAGGCCCAGAGTTCAGGCCCCACGACCGGACCCCCCCCCCAAAAAAAGTAAAATAGCTCCGAGCAAGCACCACACCCTGAGTTCCAATCCTGGCAGCCACCAAAAAATAAAAATAAAGTATAGTTGAGTGCTGGTGGCTCATGCCTGTAATCCTAGCTACTCAGGAGGCTGAGATCTGAGGATCACAGTTCAATGTCAACCTGAATAAGAAAGTATTCTCCAATTAACACCACCAGAAAACTGGAAGTGGTTCTGTGGCTCAAGTAGTAGAGTGCTTGCCTTGAGCAAAAGCAGCTCAGAGACAGCACCTAAGTCCCAAATTCAAGCCCCACAACTGGAAAAAAAACAAACAAACAGGGACTGGGAAGGTAGCTCAGTGGTAGAGGGCTTGCCTTGCATGCATGAGGCCCTGAGTTCAATTCCTCAGCACCACATAAGCAAAACAAGCCAGAAGTGGTGCTATGGCTCAAGTGGTAGAGTGCTAGCCTTGAGCTGAAGAGCTGAGGGACAGTGCCCAGGCCCGGAGTTCAAGCCCCACAACCGACAAAAGAGGGAGAGAGAGAGAATGAAGTTCCCCCAAATGGGAGATATTAAAAATAGTTAACAAGATAACAAAACCAGGCGCTGGTGGCTCACATCTATAATCCTAGCTACTCAGGAGGCTGAGATCTTAAGATCTCAATTCAGAGCCAGCCTAGGCAGACAAATCCATGAGACTCTTATCTCCAAATAACCAACAAAAAGCCTAAAGTAGTGACAAAGTTAAGTGAGAGCATCAGGCTGGAGTGCAAGCCCCAGAACTGGCACAAAAAAAGTGACAGACACTGAGCGTGAGGGGGCTGGGGCAGCAGCGCAGCTCTGCGTGGCTGGAGGCCGGGGTGGGGCAGACGCCACTGCTGCCCTGGCCCCAGGTCCAGGCACCAGGTTTGGGAGGGGGGGGGGCCACTGAGGTGATCAGTTCCTCGTCCCAGGAGGCTGCACAGAGCAGAGGCTTAGGACACACAGGTGGAGGGGCCACAGGACAAGGTGCTGCTCAGCGAGGCCGGCACCAGGCTCCAGCTCAGGTTCAGCTTCCCCTCACCTCCTGGGACAGCCAGGGTCGCCTTGGGGACATCGGGAGCTCCTCCCTCTGCTCAGCTTCCTGTGCCCTAACCCAGCCTCGTGGCCTCTCCCTGTGCACCCTTGATTGCCGTCAGCCACAGCTGACAGCCTCACTCAGCCTCTGGCCCTGTTTCCCCTGATGGCCGCTCTCCCTTGCCACAGGCCTCCCTGAACCCCACTGACCACAAGCTGGATGAGGAGCTGTGCCAGACACTCACGCAGCGCTACGTGAGCATCATGAACAGGCTGCAGAGCCTGGGCTACAACGGCCGGGTGCACCCGGCGCTGACAGAGCAGCTGGTGAACGCCTATGGCATCTTGAGGGAGCGGCCGGAGCTGGCGGCCTCCGAAGGCGGCTGCTACACGGTGGACTTCCTGCAGCGCGTGCTGGTGGACACCGTGCACCCCAGTATGCTGACCGACGCGCTGCTGCTGCTCTCCTGCCTCAGCCAGCTCGCCCACGACGACGGCAAGCCCATGTTCATCTGGTGACACCGGTGCCAGGCTGGCCCCGGCTCTCCACCACACACTCCTGTGCATGACCATTAAAGCTTCCCACACACGCTAGCCTGGCGCCCTGCCGCACTCCTGCTTAGAGCCTCTCCACACCCACCATGGGGCTCCGAAAAGAACGGGCAGAAGAGGGCTCAGCGGTGGTCGGCGGGGTGGACAGGAGGCCCAGGTCCTCTTCACCTGGTGATGAGGGCAGTAGAGGGAGGGGAGCAGGAGAAAGCAGTCTCCCCAAGATACCCTAGGTGGAGGAAGAGGGGGCCCTCATCACAGGACTGCCGTTCAAGCTGGGAGGGAGGGAACCACCCACAGCAGGGGATGGACAGGAAGCAAGACAGGCAAAGACCAGGGGCTGTGAGACGGGTGCTGGCCGAGCCCCACGGGCTGGGAGGGGGGAGGGAGGGAGGGCTGTGGCAGGGCAAAAGGCCCAGGTACAAGGAGAACCCGCGGGGCAGGGGGGAAAGGCCCAGGGGCCTCAGGACCGCACAGGCCACGCAGTGTAAAGAACAGGGCTATGGGGGCTGGGAAGGTGGCTCAAGTGGTAGAGCGCTTGCCTTGAGCTGAAGAGCTGAGGGACAGCGCCCAGGCCCAGAGTTCAGGCCACACGACCGGACCCAAAAAAATAACAACAAAAAAAAATGGCTATAGAGAGAGGGCTGAGGCTGGAAATGACTCCAGCTGAGGAGGGTCTTGAAGGCTGGTGTGTGCCAGTCAGGGAGCGGAGGCACTACAGGCTCCTGTGGGCAACCAGGAATCCAGGGACAGCGCAGATGTGTGGGGTGGCTGAGCCCCATTTGCTGCCTTCCACCCCTTCCACTCCATGTTTACAGAGAAGTTACAAGCAGACAGCTCAGTCTCATGCTCAACCCTGGAATAAGGCAAGGGAGAACTCAGGCCAGAGAGTGACGTTTGGGGCCCGCCAAGAGCAGCTCAGAACCCCCCCCCCTCCAGGTGAAGGGATGGAAACTTTGCCTAAATCTTTAGGGGAATGTAAGAGGCACTGGCCCCAGGCTGGCAGGGTGTGGATACGGACTGCTGGAACTAGAGAGCCTCAGCCCACACTCCAGAGGCTCAGGCCTGTAACCCCCCAGGCTGAGATCCGAGGATCTTGGTTGGAAGCCAGCCTGGGGCTGGAAAGTCCAAGAGTCGCTTATCTCTAACCACAGATTAGGCTTTAGTGGTAGAGTGTTAGCCTTGAGCAAAAAGCAGCTCAGGGAAAGTGTTTGAGCCCAGGTGTGTGTGTGGGGGGGGGGGGGGCAAACCAGGCACCTGTGGCTCACACCTGTAATCTTAGCTACTAAGGAGGCTGACACCTGAGGTTTATAGTTCGAAGCCAGCCTGGATGGGAAAATCCATGAGGCTTCCCCCCAGTTAAGCACCCAAAGGGCCAGAAGTGGAGCTGTGGCTGAAATGCTGGAGCACTGGCCTTGAGCAAGAGAGCTCCAAAACAGCATCCAAGCCCTGGGTTCAAGCCCCGGGACTGGCACAAGAGACCCAAGGAGAGCCACGCAAGGCCTGCGGCTCCGAGAAGCCTGGAGCGGGCGCGGGGCGCGGGGCCTGGAGGCG